TTTCAATAATGTTCAAGTCATCAACATAGACAGCAATTATAATAAATTCATATGTAAACCTTTTTATGAAATATATGGGCATATAGGATTATTTTTATAACCTTCTTTCAACAAATATGCACTAAGACGATTATACCACATGTATCTAGATTGCTTTAATCCATATATTTATTTAATTTGATCGAATAAATTTCTCGAGAATTCATATTTTGTGCTTCCGGCAACTTAAATCCTTCAAGGATTTTCATATAGATATCAATATCAAATGAGCCATATAAATAGCCTGTAGCTATATTCATTAGACGCATTTCAATCTTCTCATATATTGCCAAACTAGTTAATATAGAATTGTAATTGCATCCACCATAGAGAATAACTCTTCATCTTCAATACTAGATCTTTAGAGAAAACCTTGTGCGATAAGCTGTGCTTTATATCTCATAATCTGATTTTTCTCATTTCATATTCGTACAAATATCCATTTATAGCTTATTAGTTTTACATCATTTGATGTACGGACTACTAATCTAAAAACTTCACATTTTGTAATTAAATTCAATTCCACCTTAATTGCGTTTTCCACATTACCCAATCATTTCTTTGTCTACATTTCTATATTATATAAAAAATATCGTCGACATTTATTTACCGGTTCCATATTTTCCCATCATGACATAATTGATTTATATCTCTTCACTTTCAATGATTTCAAGTACCTGAATTTCTTCTGAAATTCATCTCAATTATATCAAAGATCTCTTCTAGAGTTTCTACTTCCTCTTTTTGACCATCTTAAATACTTGCTTCTTTTCTTTTTCGAGGATTTTATCTTTAGAATCGATTATTTTCCATGCTTCTAGCGTGCCTTGTCCTATAGGGACATCAATGCTAATATGAGCATTTGCAGCTAGTATATAAGATTTGGTTATTTTTTTATGTCAGTAAATACGTCTGGCAACTGATTTACTATACTTTACAAAAAAATTATCTTTTGAATTTCAAGTTCATATTGATTTGGGCAAGGATCAAAATTAGATAATGATATTCATTCTAATAAATTTTCTTTTACAGCTGCTTATTTTTCTCCCCCTAATATTGGAAAAATTGTTTTATCAATATGACAATTGACAAACTTTGTCATGAATAAATCTCCTATTGATAATTCTATATATTTAATTACAAATGAAGATCTGTATCCAACATACATTCATAATCTCCTTTGAGAACCCATCTTTGTGCGTTGTGGTGCAGCAATTAAAGCACATACCACACATCTAAAAATTCTTAAATGGAAAATATTTGGTTCCTCACCATAAACCAATTGTATAGGGAGAATTTATAATAACTCATTTAGCCTGATGCATATAAATGCTATTGCATCTAAAATTGCATGTCCCCAAGCAAACATTGGGAGTTTGAATTTCATAAGTAATGGCCTTTCAATTAGTTGGAAGTGTTTAATAAATAATTCTGCTAGACCATTTTGTGTATAAATATAAGCAACAGGCTATTCAATAGTTATTCCAACTAATATGCAATATTAAAGGCTTGAGATGTAAATCCACCAACATTGTCAAGACAAATAGTCTTGATTATTTAACTAGAAAAATGTGCTTGAAAACGAATGATTGCAAATGCCAAATTACAAACTGATAATAAGCACATATGTGACCATCTAGTCGATGCATCGATTAAAACTGTAAAATATCTAAATGATTCATATGGTGGATGTATGAATCCACATATAACCTTAAATATTATTCAAATACATAGGGAATTGAATCCTAATTTTAGCTGGTAATAGGCTTATAATTTATTTACCTTCAGAGCA